TCAAAAGCGAATGACTTGTAATTGTTTCCTGAGCGTCAATATCACTTTTGTTTGTTTGTTTTTTTTGTGTTGGCGGGTGCTTTGAGGATGATTATTGGTCGTTTTTTTATGCTTCCATTAATGAATGACACATCATCAACGCATGTATTTTTTATGTGCCTGTCTTCGATAATTTCGTAGTGTCCTTCTGGTCTTTAGAGAAAATTGTCACGGCTTCACCACACGAGGTGTTGCTTTTTGTTGTGCTTTCTATAGGAAGTAGAATTTTGTTTTTTTAAGAGTGGGGTTGCCAGCCCCACACTAAAACAGTTTTGAATTCTGAGTTCTACTTCTCCTAGAAGAGATGCCAACCAAAGCTAAAGAGTTCAGTTTTCCCTGTTGCTATTTAACTCCAAGATGGTGGAAGAAGAGGTCCATTCGTACTTTGCTCGAAGGTATTTATACGAAAGTGAATGTTTCGAACTCGGCTGGAATTCGAACTCCGTACTCCCCGCGCCGATAGCCGCTACGCTACCAACATTCTTGCAGTGTCAGTTTTTTTTATAATTTTGACATCTTAGTCTTTTGCAATTTTACCTCCTTTTTACTTCAGTTTCCAAGAAGTTTATGCACCAAAAATGGCCGGGAGAAAAAAATATTTCATTGTAAATAGTAATTTTCTGTCATCGAGATTATTTCCTTGGAGATGAAGAAGACACTTGAGAAGACAGTGACGAGCAAATGCTAAGTGTAACATGGACAGAACATGTCAGCAATAAGGAAGTCATAAAAATGTGAACGCCAAAGAGACTTACACTTAACCCGCAAAATGGACACATAATGAGGAAAGAATGCCCGGAGAATTTAATACACACAAGACACGCTGAAGTTAGATGAAACAAGGTGAAACTGCGAGTAAACTACTTAACGTGTTTGTGTGAATAGACAGTAGAAGGATGACAAAGAGTCAAAATTTACTTCAAGCAACAAAAGGCGGGAAGTTGTGGAGAGATTTGATCACCTACATCTGGATATGGCACATTAAATAAAACTACCTCTGTTCCGTAACAGTCGTTAAATTTACATGCTCAACAAATACGTTATAATGTTACAGAGGGTGATTCATAGCGGAGAAATAGTCAGTAAATCAGTTTGTAACCTATTAGTAGTGAGTTCAATATCTATCGGATGTCCCATACATATGATCTTGTGCCAAAACTAAGTTGCTTTTATTAAATGAGTGGGCTCATTAGCGTAGGATAGTGGTTAGTGAATTATTCTGGTTGGCCATTATAGCTGTGTAGAGAGTTCGATCCTCACTGGGTGCTTTCTAATTGTAGCCTGCTACCGAAACTAAACTTAATAAAATAATGGACACTTTGGTGTGGAGTAAGTGGCGGATTGATTAGCAGCGTGTAAAACGAAATCAGAAAACCGAGTTTGAATCTTGCCTGATATTGCCTTTAATTTGGTCTAAGCTAAGCAATTAAGAAACTTTGTACGAAAAATACCAAGTTTAGGAACTTTTCCAAGTTGTTGAAGATGACGATGAACAATTGTATGGTTTGAACTGAGAACCACTGCCAATTCCTCAACTAAAAAAGCAGGATTTTCTTCAAGAAGCTTTTCATCAAACTCAACTGGACGTCCGGTTCGATCTTCATCTTCAAGGGTGAAATCTCCACCTCTGAATTTTGCAAACCATCTTCTGTAAGTTCTTTCATTCACACATTCCCCTCCATAAACTGAGTGAATGTTTCTAGCCGCTTCGGCTGCTGAGTTTCCTTTCTTGAACTCATAAAGCATTATGTGCCTCAAATGATTCTTGGGTACTTTCATGTTAGCAGGGTTTTAATCAAACAAAATTTAATTTTATTGTTCTCTGAAATAAAATTTGATCAGTTTAAATGCATCTAAACATAAAAATAATGTTCAGCTGCATTAGACATTATAAAATACTCTTTAAACTTCGTTCATTTTAACAAAAAGTTAAAATTCGGACAGAACTTATGGGATGACCTGATATATAGCTAACGTGTGAATACTTGCCAAGTTTTCATGTAACAATGCAACGATATTCATTACATATTTTTGTGTTCCACATTAGTAGATCTGAAAGAATGAACGGAAAGTTATGTCGCCTACATTTGTGTCTCTTTTCAAGTATGTATCGTATTTGTCTGACTCGGTTTATACATACCAGTCTGCACCTCTGCGTAGGTCTAGCCTATCTACGCCACGATTGGTTACAGTTTATATCCGGGGTAGGAATAAATGGTTTACTGATTAACAGCGTGTAAAACAAAATCAGAAAAAAATGAGAACGCCAAAGAAACTTATACTTAACCGTCAAAAGGGACACATAATGAGGAAAGAATGCCCGAAGAATTTAATACACACAAGACACGCTGAAGTTAGATGAAACAAGGTGAAACTGCGAGTAAACTACTTAACTTGTTTGTGTGAATAGACGGTAGAAAGATGGCAAAGAGTCAAAATTTACTTCAAGCAACAAAAGGCG